TTATAATTATGATTTGTATTATTGTTAATTGCATGTATACACACACACACACACACACACACACACACACACACACACACACACACACACACACACACACACACACCCATGTATGTGTTTACAGTAGATTAGTACTAGTTTACTCTTTATTTACTTTATTTACTCAGTATTATCTCTGTATTAACTCTGTATTTACTCTATGGTATGACAGTACTCAAATTCAGGCAAAGCCTGAAAAGGACTCAGGACACAGAACATAAAAAGGTAAGGTGCTTTATGAGTGGAGGGATGGGAATTAGATGTCCTGGAAGGGAAAGAAAGATGATTAGTTTCTGAGTATTGGATGATGTTGGTGGTGAGTTTGAATGTGTCTTTTCTCTTACAGGTAATTGTCGAGGAGGCACACAGAGGAGGAGGTGGAGGTAATCTGGGGGGGGGGGGGGGGGGTGACAGAATGATTCAGTGAAGACTGGATCTCATTCAGAGGCTTAAATACCAGCCGGACTCATCAACAGGACCTGGAACAGGTGGGTAATTGGAAGCTCCGCCTCTGCCACTCAGAGTCTGCAAGGTAAGTCTCAAGAACACACACAACCAATCTCCACGTTTACTCTTTATTTACTCTGTGTTAACTCTGTATTAACTCTGTATTTACTCTGTGTTAACTCTGTATTAACTGTATTAACTCTATATTTACTCTGTATTAACTCTGTATTAACTGTATTAACTCTGTATTTACTCTGTATTAACTGTATTAACTCTGTATTTACTCTGTATTAACTGTATTAACTCTGTATTTACTCTGTATTAACTGTATTTACTCTATATTTACTCTGTATTAACTGTATTAATTCTGTATTAACTCTTCATTTACTCTGTATTAACTGTATTAACTCTGTGTCAACTCTGTTAACTCTGTATTTACTCTGTATTAACTGTATGTATTAACTCTGTATTAACTGTATGTATTAACTCTGTATTAACTGTATGTATTAACTCTGTATTAACTGTATGTATTAACTCT